GAAAAAACTTTCAGAAACACTTAGTCCCCAGTTGAAACAGTAATAACTCCCGTGAAACACGCACGGGCTGTTTTATTTCGAGGTCTTTGGAATGATACTGTTCCAGTGGACCTTGACCATTGACCCAGTTACGGGGTAGCGTGTCCAGAGTGGGCAGAGAGTGTCCAGCCCGTCCCCACACCCTCATTACACATTCATTCGCCACGTAATCACTGTCCCTTACTAATGGTTACTGGTAAAAGCTCCCACTTATACAAATGCATCATAAATAAAATATCAACAGTCAACACTAATGTCACTGTGGACATAAACCGTTCCTTTATCTATACATTTGACTGGTAATTGAAATATCTAATGAATAATTTGTATTTTTATGAGTCAGGATTAATACAAGCTCGGTTGTCGATGTGGTCGAAGGAGAAGCAAACATTATTGTGATTGAACGTGACAGGGGGTTATGTAGATTATAAATAACATTACATAGTTATTGGAACAGAGTATCTTTCCTTGAGTGATGCAATGTTAGATGTTGCTAGGTTACGAGTTACAACACGCGGTTTGCAGACGTTCACACTCTACTTAACAGGCTATGAATAAACATCCTAAATCTGAGGCTATCTCTAAATCTAATTGGGTTGCCACGGTATAACTAGAAATTAGTTCGAATGTAATTTTAATCCATTCTTTAAGATTTTAATGATATACAACATTACCAGAATACGTTCTTAGCATTATAAGTTTCATAAGACATAGTTATTAAATTAACTAATTAAGCCAACTGACTGTTGGCTGCACGACGTTCGCTACGTCGTTTGTTGCTCGTGAGTATGAGCCCTGAATGTGACTTGAAACTATACGAGTTGCCCGTTAAGCAGTTACACGAGTTAGCTGCATTAACCTTTGTTCGTTCATTGATTTTGTGCAATAAACGCGTAGTGGTAGGCAAACCGATGAAAACATAAAAAAACAATAATTTGAAGAGTACCTTCTTTTCCCTGTAGCAGTTAATTTAACTCGTCGAGTACCGGTTTTGTAGACACAATTATAGAACAATAGGTTGCGGTCACCGGTGACCGCTTGGTGTTTGACAGTTTAAACTCGTTTTTCATCAATCGATTACATTTATATAATATCTAAGTGTTACTACTTCATGCGTAAATATTTTCCAAACAACTATGCTATCAGGTAAGTTCACGTCAATAAGAAAAGAGAATAAATTAGCGTGACCTAATTAACGAACGGTCATTAATAATTATGAAGGTATTCTAGACGCAAGATCATTTTTAGCTTTACTGGCAGGTAGGCTAGGTACCTCCCTATTGGTCAATTTTCTTCGTGTGTACCGACACACGAAGAAAATACACGCACCGGCGTGTACTAAACAATGTTTGCGTGTCAACAATAATTATTATTGTAGCTTCGACAGTCATCAACATGAAATAAGTGTGAATTGTGAAAGTATTAAGTTAAACAAGTAACAATCTTTTAAAACTTATTCAAATAGAATCATCATTTTTACTTTTCAGTAGAAATTGACATTCGATTTGATTGTTTGCTTGGTAATCAGGAAACGTTTACCAATATTAGTTTACAGACACAGACAACAACAATGGCTGCGAGCGCCGACCTTGAGGTCTTCACCGAACAATCTCAACAAAATCAATCGAAATTACATTTAACGAGGTGTGCGCGTGAAAGCTTTGAACTTGTACGATGTTTGTCGAACGTATGAAACGTTTGACGTGTAATCGATCAGCCGGCTCGTGCTCAAAAACAGCCGTAGTTCCGGCCTGCCGTTTGACATTGTGCTCGTTTTATCTCTGAACACAAATACCAGCCAAACTTTCCTCTTTGTGACTAAAATGTTAGTCACATAGCCTATAGCCATTTGCATTTAGTGTTGACCAGCTGCCAATATCTAGAAATTGATACGACATTAGCTTGAATGTCCTACATAGTTATACGATTTAGATGACCGTTAAAGGTAGAATGATGATAGATTTTCCTAGTAGTTATTCTATTATGAATGATGCTCTCACGTGGTTCCCATTCACTTTAATCAAATCTGATTACGCTGTGAACGTTATGATAACTTTGCACTTATTTTAAATTGATTTGCAATGCACATACGAAACGTGTTTTACTTTGATAGTCACCCACATTCGACGACAAACAAAGGATAGATTTTGTAGTTTATTTTTTCCATAGACCAAAGTTCAGTCGTAAAAATGTAATAGAACAATATCTGAAAGAGTGTGTTAAACTCTCTAATGGAATAAATATTGAAATAGTTTACGGACAAACAAGTTTAGTTTCCATGATACGCTTATAATATTAATGGGTAATTTATTACCCGAGTGGCCGAACCGCCTTACCACTTGGTGTGGCAAACATCATAAGAAATTCACCGTATATGTCGAATGAATTACTTATGCCTTCCATAGACACGACACTGGACCTGCGCGTCCATTACGAAAAGGTCGGTAGTAACGTTATTCCATATTTTTGGACCTAAGTAGGACTACCGCTCCGCCCACGCTACCGCGATTAATAATATCCTATGTGTTAATCGAGGTCATGGTCTATCTATATGTCAAAATTTCATCAATATCTATAGCATTTGTATACGGCAAAAAATGTCCGTCAAAATTATTTATTTCTATTTCGAAGTATAGTTAGTTAGTTTAGTTACCTTTTACCATATGAGAGTGCAGATGCAGAATTGACGTATGCTATGAGCGAAAATTTTGTCGACAATAAATCAGTGGCAACATAAACACGTGAAACAAAAATTAGGATGGTAAATAAACCGCAATTTACTTTTTTTGTAGGTGGCTGAACTTTGTCTTATACTGTATGCCCGCCTAACATTTATTTTTGTTTTGCAAATGATTGGCCCATTTGCATTTTCTATCTCTAACCATTTTTGCATGGCCCTAAATCCTCTTGGAGAATGCATTATTAAGCGATAGTATTTACCCTTAAGTCGGATGTGTCCTCGGACGTATCCTCGACATTATCGACCGCGTCGGAGTTAACGCGTAAACCTGCACCGCCTTGAGGCATCTCTGCTTGATTACTCGACGCACTTGCGTATAATTATGAGTAATTAAAACGTATTTTTGAGTATTAAATATCATGAGATATAACCTTACTAGTATAACCAGTACTTAAATATGTTTTATTTTAGTAATCCTTACAATTGGGTACATCCGTGTCAAAATGAAAGGAAAAAATGTTGTGTTGTTCAATTGTTATTATAATGTTCTTTGATTTTCGGCTATTTCTTCCCAATTAGATTAGAATTGGCATTTATTGAACCAGATTCAGCTAAATATTATCAGTATTTTACACGGAGAAACTGTCTTCATTTTCCACAACTAGACTATTATTTGGGCTTAACTCATGGACGTTCGACTATGACAACCGAGACCGATGGCTTGATACAGGTAATACGCAACTGTTGAGTTTGAGTGACACAGTAATATTTAATCTCATTGCCATTAATTGCTGCAGGCACTGCCGGAATCTACTTCCGCGTGGCCGTGACAAGAGCTCGAATTTAAACCAAAAAGGAGATTATGAGGGTCGTAATTTACATTCCGTTTTATGTTATTAACCGTAATCGTGACTGGAGCTCTTCACACCGTCACACTATGTGTACTGGCATACACAGATGGTACAGTAGGTATATAAATACCATACAAAATGCCTGATACAATAATTCAGTTTATTCAGGGACCTGCACGTATTGTTTTGAATAACTGGCGCTCTCTAAATGGCACGAGGCCATATTTAGCGCAGTATTCACGGACTGGCTACTGGCGTAAGCAGTGGTTGGATAAGAAGCGCTGGTATTGAGCTGAGAGACGGCTTGCCATTGGAAAGATCCAGAACGAAAACAGACTTTTGGTGATGACATTTAAAATAATGGGCAGGTACTTAACTATAACTTGCTTAGATATCAAGTAAGTAAATCTTGAGTGGGTGTCGTAAATACAGTATCGACGCCGACGTCACAAGAAAAACTTCTTGTGTCTACAATTACATTCTAGAAGCTTTCCGCCGATCGTTATCGCGCCTGATTTAGCCGATTAACCGCAATAAGTACCTTCGATGGTAGCACCGTAAATGATTCCATTGCTAATCAGTAGATTACAAGCCCAAGCTATCACACCACTTAGCTTTAGTGTGCACAAACAATTTTATACAACACACTTATGATAGTGTTAAAGGCGAAACAAATTCAGAATTAGGATTTTCCTTTTAAACAACCCGACATAGAACAATAGCCATTGTAATATTAGGCGTTATTTTTGTTGATATTTACCGGCTTCTAGGCTGCCTAATAATAGTTGATGCTGGAATATCCTTTGCATTTAATTAGGTATTTTATGAATTGGTACATCATTTGTGTACTGCAAGTGTCCATTTATGATAACTGTTAAATAAATGTATAGTTAGCAATTGGAATAAAATGACAATTTAATGATAAGCTGCCTTATTGCATTATTTTATTGCCTTAATATTTAATGGTCATTTTATGGTAAAACTTATGTGCCACATAGAGATATGATTAATGTTGATTGCATCAAACAAACAAACAAAAGGATCTCATTTAATTATTTGTTTATTTATTTTATAGTTTGTTACCTAAGAGAAATCTTTGGTTAAATATCTCATAAAGATTTATGAAGGTAGATATTGTTGATGTTTTTTTAACTTGTTATGTTGGATTAGAAGACTTATTTTTATGTGTTTATAAGCTCAGATGTATAATGATATATAACACCGAATACAATCTATCTTGTGGGCTGTGTTATAAAGTTTTTAAGGATATCAATTCTAGAATAAACATCCAGAGACCTTAACATAAATTAAATAACTACAAATTCATAGAATGGGTATTTTTGAATGACTAGTAACATATTTTAACGAGAGTTGTAGTAAAAACCATGATAACTACACCTCAGCAAAATGATATGAGAAAAGATACTCACTTTTTGAAGACTCTGCAGAATGAGTTGTTTATTCTTTTATCAGAATTATGTCTCCTTCTGTCTTCAAATAAGTCTTTGATGGCAGTCACACCGAGTACAAACAACACGGGCAGCATGGCCACTTCTTTACCGAACGCACTGATTGCAGGCACCCAGTTCAACAACACTATGAATATAAAGTACACATTTGCAATTCTATGGAATTGTTCAAATAAATTCTTGGGTAAAAATGATAATAAGGTATATTTTGTAGTCCTAACTTTATTGTCGCATCTTTTTCCGTTAGGATGTTCTTTGAGTGGAGTTTTGTCTGGCACCAAGTGGTTGGGAGTGACGATGAGGTGCCGAGTATCAACAGCGGGCTGCTGGCGCCGCAGCAACCAGAAGGCTGCCCGCCTCCAGGGGCTGACGACAGACGTGCGTCGGATGGTGTAGATGGAATCGGACCGCGACGCCTGCCTGGAGTGCATCCGCACGGAGCCGATGCGTGGCTGTGTGGTGGGTGGCGGCGGGTCCCGGTGTCCGGGCGGCAGGATGAAGTCTGTGCGGCTGCCGGCGCGGCTGTGGCCGGGACCGCTGGTGGGCCGCCCGCCCTCGCCGATCTGTCCGTGTGACAGAGCGCGCTGGTGGCCACGCATCGCAGATTTGAGTGATGGTCTCGGAGCGGTGGGATTCCCCGCGAGCATTGGAGTGCCTCCATGACTTACAGACCTCGAGTGACCTTTCGGTTTTGGAAACAGATAAGTCTGCTCCGGAGCCCCGGGTAAACATGGCACAGTAGAAGGTGTCTCTCCACTGCCTTCTGTTGACATTTTTATTCATTTGAACGGAGTTTACCCCACTTTTACCTTTCATTTAAAAGTGTTGTATCGTCACACCGTGTTTAGACGTATATGTTATTACTGAATTAGGGATAATGTGCCGTACGAAATCAAACATATGGTAGGAAGTCATCCGTTCACAGATTCACACTTCACTAACTCAAATATTTCCGAATATCACGAAATGAATAGATGAGTTTTGTTGATACATGGGTTTGCATATTCTTAGAAGTTTGAAAATAATTGTTTGATCACCACAGAGCGATTACACACGACAGAGTACGAAACTTAAAAACAAGCAAAAAAGACGAGACAAGTAACTGACTGAACTCAATGACTGACTGTCTGACATGACACTTGCTTCTTGACTGCTTGGTCGTTTGACGTATTTGACACATGACGGGACGTGACATGACATTCATAGGATTGCCAAATTGAAAATAATATCGTACCATCGTTGCATTTTGTGCAACATTAATTTGCTCTTTACTCTTACTAATCATTTGTTATTATATTATTCACTTTTTTCTCTTTACATAGGTACCTACAATTACAACTGCTTTTTGAAAAAGATAACATAGAACACAGAGTATGGAATGGAAGTCTCGACAATGATAACCGTAAAATCTCTCCCTCTAAGTTGGTTAAATATACCAAACTCTCAAACGGTGCATTTCATTAGTACTTTTATTCTAAGGGAGGGAAGAATTCTATTCTAAAATTATTATTTGTATTCTATTTTTATTGTAATAAGACACGAATGCCTTTTAAATCAATGGGGCCTATCATATTTTTGCCCAGTGGAGTACGCTAGTGTGAACTTTTGTTCCTCGTCCATCGAATCTACTTGACAGCTGTGATTGGGCATAATACCCTTTCTAAATTTGCGCCATCTGGCGAGCAAAAAAACGTTAGCCCCCATTTTTCTGTCGATAACCTACTCAGCATAAATAAATAGATGCATAGAAACCGTCTAATGTAATGACTAATGTTCATCGCAGTAATGTAGGTTTCTATTTGATGGAATAATATTTCCGAAATCCCGGAATTCCTAGTTGCCAAGTAAATAAACAATAATATCGACTGTTTTCATAATATTTGTTTGCGCAACACTAACTCACACGTCGTCGTCATCGAAGTCGGCCATATTCTTTCCGACATTTTGACATTTACCACCCGGTTAGCGTTTTCGTATTGGAAAAACTTCTCATAAATCCTTCAACATGGATGAAGAATACGACGCGATAGTTCTGGGAACGGGTTTGAAGGAGTGCATTCTAAGTGGAATGCTTTCCGTGTCCGGAAAAAAGGTACTGCACATTGATCGTAATAAGTACTACGGTGGTGAATCTGCGTCAATTACCCCGTTAGAAGAATTGTTCGCAAAGTTCAACGCACCGGCTCCCGATGAAACATACGGTCGAGGTCGCGACTGGAATGTAGATTTGATTCCCAAGCTGTTGATGGCCAATGGCCTCCTTGTGAAACTGCTCATTCACACGGGTGTGACTCGTTATTTGGAATTCAAGTCTGTGGAAGGCAGCTATGTCTACAAAGGCGGAAAGATTTCCAAGGTCCCCGTCGACCAAAAGGAGGCGCTGGCATCGGATCTTATGGGGATGTTCGAGAAGAGACGCTTCCGGAATTTCCTTATTTATGTTCAAGATTTCCAGGAAGATGACGCCAAGACCTGGAAAGACTTAGACCCCAACACAGCCAACATGCAGTCGCTGTATGACAAGTTTGGTCTCGATAAGAACACCCAAGACTTCACTGGGCATGCTCTGGCCCTCTACCTCAATGATAACTACCTCCAGCAACCAGCTATTCAAACCATTCGCCGCATTAAACTGTACTCTGATTCACTGGCTAGGTATGGAAAATCTCCCTACCTGTACCCTATGTATGGTCTTGGAGAGCTCCCTCAGGGCTTTGCTCGTCTCTCTGCTATTTATGGAGGTACCTACATGTTGGACAAACCCATAGATGAGATTGTCCTTGGAGAAGGTGGCAAAGTAGTTGGTGTGCGCTCTGGCAATGAAATAGCCAAGTGCAAGCAAGTGTACTGTGACCCCAGCTATGTTCCTGACCGTGTTCGCAAGAAGGCCCAGGTGATCCGTTGCATCTGTTTATTGGACCATCCTATTCCAAACACAAAGGATGCTCTGTCCACTCAAATTATCATTCCTCAGAAGCAAGTGGGCAGGCATTCTGATATCTACATATCGGTTGTGTCATACACACACCAGGTAGCTGCCAAGGGCTGGTTCATCGCTATGGTGTCCACCACCGTTGAAACCAATGATCCTGAGAGTGAGATCAAACCTGGCTTAGATCTGCTTGGACCCATCCGACAGAAATTTGTGTCGGTGTCAGACTACTATGAGCCCATTGATGATGGAACTCAGAGCCAGATCTTTATTTCTGAGTCATATGATGCTACCACACACTTCGAGACTACCTGCTTAGATGTGATTAAAATATACAAGTATGGAACTGGTGAAGACTTTGACTTCTCCAAAGTAAAAGTAGAGCTTGGGGAGGAGGAACAGTGAACTGTACTTTAGTATCATGTTTATGTACATTGCTTGTTAATTTTATATTTGTTTAAGAACTGTTCTGGCAACAATAACAATACTCCAGGGATTTTGGGTTAACAATATAAGAGCTTATTGTAGGTCAAGTATTATGTATGTACAATGCTCCCAGTCGTTCCAAAACATTGATTTTATGCATTTTATTGCCAAAAATGAAATATTATTTAAAGGAATTTATACTTTATTTATAGCTGCTTTTTAAGTATACAAAGCTGTATGATCTGCACAAGTGCTAGGTTATTTGTACCAGAAAGTTATGCATTCCAATTGGATAATTGTTTGATTCTGTAACCATATCATACTTGTAACAAGTCAAAATTTATGAATGCTCAGTATACCTATATGTTGTGTAAGATCATAAATAAAAGTTATAATTATAGAGGAGTGTTTTATTTTGTAAACAAATATTAACAACAGGTACATTGAACATAACAAATTATTATTAGTCCTTATGTTTATTGGCAATTTATTCTTAACTTGTTAATAATTTAAATAAACCAATTAATTAATAGACTAGATGAATTGACTATCATGATTTGAAGAGGTATCTAATTGAATACAAGTGGTCATCCCTACACCCAACGTAAATAAAGTCACCATACATAACTGGTGTCGAAAATGTTTCATTTGGCAAACTGTATTCTTCTACCAAAACTCCAGTTTCTGCTTCGAGAATACACAGTTTACCATTATTTGATGCAGCCAGTATTAGTTTATCACTCAGACCACAAGGAGTTGAGTACACTGGGGATGTAAGTTGAGTCTTCCAGTGAAGAGTTGGTTGAAAGTTTTTAACAGCAAGGCTGTACACACCCTTATCATGACAGCCGAATACCATTTGCCATTTCAATTTATCGATTTGCTTTATGTACAATGAAGAAAATACATTTCCTTTTGCACCCTGGTATTTCCAAATCTGTAAGTACAAAAATAACCATTATATCACCGGTTAAGTTTGAAAAAAAGATATGAATAAAATTACAGTAAAAATAATGGTAGATAAGTATCGTGGTTACCTTGATACCCTTCTCCACAGTTCTGCAATGTATGTCGCCAGATACTTCAGCGAATACTACGTATTTGTCTTTGTCATATAGAACAGGGCTAGCGAACACCGGGCTCCCCAGCAAGCCGCGCCAGACCACCGTGTTGGTGCTGGTGTGGATACTGGCGCACACACCTGACAGTGAGCCAAGTATCACGTACTCTTTCTTCGCAAGCACTAGGTCTGCAGATATGGCTTGGTCGCAAATGTTTATCGTCTCATTTGTCATACCCGTCTAAAGATAAAAGTTCTAGTTTTATTAGGGTTCAAACTGTAGGCTTTGCCTATAGCAACCTATCCTAAATTCAAATTGTTTATCTTAAATGCATTGCAAAGATGAAAATGTAGTGTTTGCAGCTGAGCCCCTTTATCTTTCGCAGGCGAGGGGGCCTCAAGACGATTTTCAATGTGATGTGGCGGCGTTTGATTGACCATAGCTACCTATCCTATCTAAGTACATAATAGGTGGGACACTAATAAATACCCACAAACTAAATAGGCAGAGACACCGTACCTAGATATTGTTTTGAACTACATAAATTGGTTTGTTCCAACTAGCCAACTGCGTTAATATTGATATACGCCCACTGAAGCAGAATAATGTGAGAGAAATTAAGTTGGAATATTATTGTATTAGTCATACCTACATAATGGATATGATAATGTAGGTAACAGACAGCTCAATATGTGATAACGTGTCTGATAACAGGTCAATGATTTAATAAATCGATAGATTGTTTAGCAAAAATATGGAGAATGCATTGTGATTTCGTGTTACTTGAATAGCATGAGTTAATCACGAACACCAACATAAAAATGTATAAGTAATATATTATTATCAGTTTGATGATGTAGTCGCCACATGCGTCAGTACCTAGGTACTATAAAATATTGTTCAAACTGTTCAACTGTAGTTGGTATATATATCACACCATAATTATTTATTGTACCTACTGTAGGTACTTAATAGGTATCTGTGTTTATAGCGAGCTATAAATACTTTAATGATAATATGAATAGTTACTTAATGCCAAACACTATACGAACAAAACCCATTTCAGTTTCATTATGCATTAAAATAACAAGTGAATGTATTATTTGATCTAAAGGACATACCAGGATGTCAAGACATCTAACATTGCCGTCATAGGAGGCGACATACAGTTGTCCCTTCACACAGACTGCCTTGCTTTTGACCATGGAGCCTATATTGACTCTCCAGTTCTCCTTGAAGGTGTCGAGACAGAAGCAGATGACGGTACCGTCGTACCCGCCGACCACACCACACGGTGGAGTGATGTCTGGGTCATAGTAACACAGGACAGCAGCTTCGATCCTCGAATTTATTAGGAACTTGGCTTGGACTTCACTGGTTATTGCGTCTAGTACTGCGATCTGTCCTGAGTGACTGCCCACTGTTACATACAGGTTGCTGGAAAAGCAATAATGTTTTATTAAAAGAGTTGTACATCTTAAGCTTTAATTTAATAAGTGGATGTTGCAGGACAGAAGTCTCTGAAGCCACGCCACCTGCCACCAAATATGCGATAGTCGAATAAAAGTAAAATGTCCAAATTGTTTATTTCCGTCGTGAATGACGCGATGAAGGCCGAAGTAGAGATAGTTATCCAATTTCGGTAAATTAATATAGTTATGGCAGGATAATAATTATTATGTTAACTGTACAGTGTAGTTTACATAAAAATAAGCAGTTTAAGTAATAAGTGAAAATTGCGTATTGATAAAAAATAGTAATCAAGTTGCTATTTAAAAGTCACAGGCGTATTTTATGTGTAAGTACTTATTCACTACTCCTCATGAGGTAAATGAGTTTACTTACTATCCAGATTGAAACAATACTGGTGAAGCATCCACACATTTGCCAGTGTCATGTTTCCATATCATAGTAAACTCTATAGAGCTAATAGACTCAAGACTTGATTTCTTTACAACCTCATCCAACTCAGCAGTTTTACTTTCAGGTCTCGCCCGTTTAAGACGCTTTTTAGCTTTGGTCGCATCCATACACAACTGTTTATAGGCTATCTGCATAATTTCATCTATAGTGTGCTTCTGTGTCATTAAATATGGTAGAATCAACTTCCCAAATTGTGGACAAGTTTGGGACAGATTGTTGCAAAGAGATACAGCCAGAAAAGATGTACCTCCCAATGCAAAGAAGTCTTGATTTTTAATCTGGTCATATATTAAGTTTTTACCTATTGAATTCTTCAGTTCTTTCATGAAGGTCACTTTTATTGAATCCTCAGTTTGTGGCGCTTTCATCAATTTTTCAAACATATTGCACAAGGTATTCTTTGATACTTTCCCATGAGAATTAGTGGGTAGATTATCTACTCTTATAATTTTGTCAGGCCAATGCTTATCATCAAGTTTGCATTTTAAAAAGTCTGACAATTCTTGGCTACTCAGTGTTTCGGATGAGAAGTACACAGCTACTAGCATTGGTTTTGGTAACCAAAGACATGAACATGTTTTTACTCTTGGACATTGCATTATGGCAGCCTCAATATTCATTAAGTTGACCTTATGTCCAAACCTCTTGATGATGTCATCCCTTCTACCTCTGTAGTAAATAGTGCCACTTTTGACTTCCCCAATGTCACCAGTGTCCAGAAATTTTAATGAATTTTGCTCCTCATGGCCTTTTGATTTGTTTAAAATGACACATTTTCTACTTTTGCTAACTGAAAAAGAAAGAAAGTACAAGTAAGTACCTAATATAATACAAGTGACATTACAAAAAACAATAACTTAATCTTGTTAATATGTTAACATGACTGCCTCATCGGCCGATTTGTCGCAAGTGCAACTGCCGGGCAAAGGGTCTCAGGTTCGATACCCGAGTCGGGTAAAGTAATACTGGTTTTTTTTTTAAATAAAATTCTTAGTAATACCATGGAGTTTTTTTAAATTTTCAGTACTACACGGAGTCTGGAATTGTGACCGGTATATGGCAATAGGCTCACCTCCTATTACATGGGACTCATAACATAAATAGTGAAAAGTGGGTCAAAAGCATGGTCGCCGTGCCATATAGTATACCTCTGCCTACCCCTTCGGGGAATGTTAAACGCCATGGGGGTCACCAGTAACCGACGTTAGCAGACGATTTACCTTCAACATTTTTCTATTGGCAGTCAAAGCCCTAATAACTAAAGTAAGTAAGTAACCTAATATAATTTTTCCTGTGTTGGCATTTTCTTTGTTATCTTCAATTATGATTTCTGTTTCAGAGAGACAGTTTCCTAGGGGTACTTCCCTGTCTGTTGTAATTGTGCTCAAATCTAGTTGAGCGACACAGGCCCAACATGACATCTCGGTGACGCCATACAGAGTAAATAGCTTGGTCTGGTTATGCAAGTGCTTCAACTCCTTTATTCTTTTAACACCATTGAAAGGTTCTCCACCAAGTGCTAATATTTTAAGAGTTGAGTTTTGACTTAAAATTTTGTCTCTGATGTCTGTATTGGAGTATTGCAAGAACTTTGATGGTGTTGTTTGCCAAATTGTGATAGAGTTCGCTTTGTTTTCTGGGAATAACACATCTGTCCTGTCCGGCGCAATAAGTAGAGAGGCTCCATTGATACATGCTAGTAATATTTCTACCATGGAAGGGTCAAATGTAAGGGGTGTTGAGAAGAATATGACATCTTGTGGGGTGATGGTAAACATTTTAGTTAAGTCATCTATATTGGGTTGGATGCATTGAATAGGAACCTGAATATGTTTTGGTTCTCCTGTACTACCAGAAGTTAAAGCAATGAATGAGTGTTGAGGCACATGTGCCATGTGTGGCTCGTTGCCACCATCAAAGTTATAAAAACATATTATTAAATCAAACACTGCAACAATTTGTTCCGGCTTTTTACCAAACACCTCTGCATTAGGATCTTGATCATTTGTCCTGATGGTCATTATAATAGTAAATTCAATTTCTTTAGCTATTACATCTATATTTTGGGTTGGGTCCACAAACATGAATGTTGTGCAATTTTTGTGGGCTCTGAAATCATACAATGTAATTTTTAAAACAAATGGTAGTTTATTGTATAATCAACTGCATTAAGACGACGATAGTAAGTACTTACGCGGCTATGATACATGGTATGATGATGTTTCTTTCTGAAATAAGTCCAATTACGCCTCTGTTACATTGCATGAGTTGTAGTTTTTGCGATAAGTACTCACAAACGCCGTAAAGTTCGGAGTACGTGTAGGTCTTGTACACTCCATCCACATAGTGTCTCACGGCGATGTGGGATGGATACTTAGCACATGTGTCTACGAAAACATCGTAATAACCGCGTTTCACTTTCATTTGCGTTGTTTTCTGATTACGATAGCTAACAATTTATGTTTTGTGGAGAATTCAAGAACACCAATTCGAAAATCTGCCACATGAATTCTTCCGAACATAATACTTGTGATGTTCTAAAGTTAATTAGTTCGATTTTTAAGTAACATGATAAAGAAGCGTAAATGTTTACAAGTTATGATTTTGTTTTGAGTTTGCATCGATCCTAATTAAACAACAAACAATGTTTGACATTCCATTGGTGACAGTTCGACACTGTCAGCTGTCAAGTGTCAGCCTTCAAAATGAAATCGCATTGATCCGTCATAGATTCCACAATTTATTCTTTTGGAAAGGCTCGTGGGATGCAACCTTTTTTTATTTGTAATACGACATATAGAAAATACGTTTGCTTTAATAGAGTGGCAAACGAGCAGACGGGCCAAGTGTTTGAAACTTGCAACATTAGAGTAAGGGCAGAATTACATTATTGTGGTGTGGCGCACCGTGGTGTTGTGGTTACTACCCTCGCGACACGATAATGACACAATATTACTTAACTCGTCGAGTACCGTCATTATAGACACAATTATAGAACAATAGGTTGCGGTCACCGGTGACCGCTTGGTGTTTGACAGTTTTTAATAATGCCTTGCAGAAGCATAAGCTTAAACTGTCCTTACGTTACATGTGGGTTAGACTTAGGTACTGCCTCTCTCATTTTTTATTTATTTATGTTATGAGTCTTCAGTAAAGGGGCGAGCCTATTGCCAAATATCGGGCACAATTGGAATGATGACAGGGTATGAAAAGTAAACATATAATTAGTCCGTAAGTTAGGTAATGAAAAACTATTAGACATTTTTTTTGTCGTATAATAAAACAATACTAAAATAAAACGAGTCAAAGTTTAGGAGTGGGGGCTAAAACGTCATTTCTACGTATAAAATGTACATAGAAGTGACGTCACGAGACATTTCAAATCAAGATTTAAATATTCTTTTCTGAAAATAAAAAAATACGTGTCTAATGATTTAAAATAAGTAATCTACCAGACGGACTTTAAAATAAAAATTGGGCATCTACCCTATTCCATACTCCGTGCTACTACTGAGATTTTTTTTAAAAACCCAGTAATACTTTGCCCGACCCGGGAATCGAACCCGACTCCCCTTGCCCGACAGCCGCACTTACTCGTTCGCGTGGTATTCTTGTTAATAAAATTAAATGCATCTGTCGATCCGAGACACTTGTTCAACCTTCTGTTAAAAATAACAAAAAGATCGCGTCTCATGCATAGGTTCGAAACCTACCAACAGCAAATATCAATGTGATTTTTTCCGAGTTATATGTGCTATCTAAGATTATTTAGACCACTGACAAAAGGTGAAAACATCGTGAGGAAACCTAAGCTTATAATTTCTAATACTAAGTTTGAAATTGCCAACCCACATTATGCAAGCGTGGCGATTAAAGCTCAAACCTTCTCCGTCTGAGAAGAGGATTGGTCAGCAGTGGCCACTTATACTTGGCTGTTGATGTTGAAGGCAATTTGTTTTATTTTAATGTATGAGCTGGCCCAGCTCATACTTTAAAATAAAACAAAGCTGGGTCGACGTTTGGCCACTATCTCAGCGATGATGCGGCCTACGATGGAGCACGTCTGCCCATGAGTAACCTGTTCACTCGGGACTTGAAGACACCCAGGTTATAGATATCCTTCATTACCGCTATTGACTGATGTGATAAGCCAGTACAGATTCCAAACCACTAGGAAAAGTTATATATTTACTATTGCGAATTTGCGACATATCACATTGGAAATGATCGCTCGGTCGTAATTGTTCAATGAATCTTATCAAGTAATTGAAATATTGACATTTAGGTAATAGAGTTACTTTGTGCACTATTTGCAAAAATAAATACCATTTATTTTATCATTTACACATTTGACAGGGGCTCACAAATGGAGAAGTAATCGGCGAACAAACAAGTACATAGTACCTCCTCCTTTTTTGGAGGCGGCAATAAAAAGAGTGATACAACGATACAACGTTGTTATGTTATTTCTTAAAAAAAAATATCTAAATATAGCATTTTCCTATCTTTTTGGTTTCTAGTTTAGATTTTTCAAAAATGGCTGCCTGTGTCTAACTTGTCCAAGTGATAACGATCTCCTTTTCGATAACTAGGTCGTCCGCGTCTTGGTACGAAGTCTCAACAACTGTAAAAATAAGACATGAATAGAAATAATATCAAAAACCATTTTAAAACCTCCCGTCTACCTATCTCATTTCTTTTTATTTTCCGCAGACGAAATGAGAAAAGTATTGTAACTTTTTGCATAGCCTAGTTTAGGGCCGGAAAGTGAATTTTCAGAATTTATGTAACCATTTTCAGAGACTCGATTTAAATATTGACAGGAAGGCGAAAAATGTAGTTATTTCCTGTTTATTTCAGCACGCCTCATTGAGGGTTCGCTTTGGCAAGGCAAGTGACGCTTAATATCTAGAACGAAACTCTATATAAATAAAAAGCATACATAATATAAGATTTAAAAATGTGACGATTGTCACAACGAGAGACTTATGTGTGTTCAAACTGGCAAAAAAACTTAGTTATTACTTAAAAGTATCAATTCTCAGTGCGTACGAAAACTGCACGAAAAAACTATTTTAAAAGTTTGTTTACTGAATCTTATATGAGTAAACTAATTGAGATTTAGCTTCATCTGTATACTGCTTCAATTTCATCGCAGTACACCCCTCAGTTAAGATGAAGTTTCTAAGAACAGAGCGCAGAGGCTCTGCGGCTGAACTGACCTAAAACATGTTCGGCAAGAGAACGGGCCCAATCAATTAGGGGCGGTCAGCGATCCGCCAGAAAAGAGGGCAGCGCGCGCGCTCTCCGAGGAAAGTCGGGAAATGGTGGCGGGGGCTGTGTGCGGGCGGGGTGG